TTCTCATTGTCATGGGTAGATTCTGGCCGTTGGAGTGTCGCTCCATGAAGGAACTCTTCGGCTGTGCAGTGGCCAATATGATTTTTATAATATTTGGACTTGTGTTGCTCTACTGGACGATCTGTCGAGACTTGCCAGACATTTTTAAAGTGGACAATACGTTGGTAAAGCTGAACGTACAGATTGATGAGATGCAGCGAGCGGCAGAGACTTGTCACGCTGCGCTACTCCAGTGGGAAAGGACCGTCGCACAGGAGCTGTGCATGCCTGTGGGTATTGATATGGCACTATTGCTGCTGAACACGTGGTTACTACTACATTACCATAGACGATGGGCGAGATACCTCATGGCGCTGATGGCGGTGATGTTTGTGGTGGATGTGCCTACCCAACTGTATGACGCCACTTTTCCAGCACCGGAGATTCACAAGATAGACCCAACATTCGCCCTGTTGGATGAAGAACTGCTAGTTGCTTTGGATGGGAAGAATTTGAAGCCAGGAGGAAGCGTTGGTTGGGTAGCGTACTGGGGATGCGCTACTACCTCGAGCGTTGACGCGTGCGAGAAGCAGTTTGTATCCACGTTTGAAGCAGGAAACGTGGCCGTGACTTTCAAGTCGCTGGATCATTTCATTCCGTGCTATCGCGACCCTCCTAATCCACTCAAAGCACAGGACTATCAGTGCTTTGAAGATGTTCGCATTCGCGTGAAGGATAAGCAGAGCATTCCCGGTTGGTCACGATCAAGTTTACAGGCTTTATCTACTGCTCAAGTCGGAAGAGATGAATTATCGCTGAACGATGAATGGCAGGATAACTTGAAAGCCCCTTCTCTCACGTCGGAAAGGCCAATGGATCACGATGCAATCAAGCCGACACACACGATGGCGAAGTCAAGTAAGGCCGCCGTACCCGATATTTCAGCAGCTACGAAACCGTCTCATGAATCTCTCTCGACAGCGAGCGATGAAGAGGTTAGGCTCAATGAAAAGGATGAATCAACTAACAGTCAAGAAGACATAGGTATGTCAGAACCTGAACCAGAAGCTACGAAGGCAGATATCGGAAATGAGAAGATGGAAGAGGTTGAGGTGACATCTGATGCGGACGTGAAGAAGGTTCACATCAACGTCGACCTGGAAATTGCGCCACCGATAGAAATTGCTGTGTCGTCTGTGGAGAGTTCGCTAAGGCCATCAGCGGACACTGAAGTGGTGCAGGCTT